GGATAAATTCTTGCAACCTTGCATGTAAGCAAACCATAGTCACATTCAGTCCAAAGAGCAGTGTCCTGTGTGTCTGATATACTGAGATTGTCCAGTACATTATGCTGACTAAGGATCCAATCATGAAGTATTTGTGGGATGCACCAAGTAGAACCATTCCAGGCATCACAAACTTTAGAAGATTAACCAAAAATATCAAGGAATTGTTAACTGGTCGGCTAAGGAGCTCCCCCCACACCAGTGATCCTGTCAAAACCTTACCTTGGTGCCATCACCAATCACCCCGAAGGTGTTCTCTTAATCAAATAATAGCGCCTGGCAAGGCCAGGCCAGATCTATTTGAACTAGATCTGTAAATGGTTTGGTTTTTAGAAAATCTATTTGAACTCTATCACTTTAATAGACAAGTTCTTCATACAAAACATGAACTACCTTAATGAACTGGTGTGGACCAACTAAACTAAGTTGAACCAGTTTGAAATTGGCATTTTCACACACTGGTTTCTAAATTAGTTTTCAAAATTTTTTAAATCGCTAATTGCACTCCAATTGTACATAGCTAGGTTTAGTAGTGCATAATGGTGATGCTTATTTTGATGAGTCAATACCATGTGCAGTGAGTAATCACTTCATATTGGTTGGGAAGTTGGTCGCTTTGCCATCCCATCGGTAAATGCTGCTAAGAAGACTTCAACATGAACAAAAAAGGAAAGCAAGATTTTCTATCTACTTTTCTCAATGACCAACCAGCAGATTACCCATATGGAGATTGGATCAGCTCCTCACATCAATGTCACCCACTTGAATGAACTTCAAGAAATCACTGACCCCATTAAACTCAAAACTTAGACACCGTTTTCAACAATGTTTCTACTATCTCTTCCCAAAAACTGTTATACATGCAATAATTTCACTTCCTTTCTGTTCACATTTCAGTTTGCCTCACCTTGCATCAACTCGTTCACAGGTTTGCTAAGGCTGTTAAAAAGAATATCAAGAGTCATGCAAATCAAGACAAACTTAAATAGATATCATGATTGATTTTATAAATCAAACACAAGCCCTCAACTTTAGGCTTAACGTGTGTACAATGGACCCTGCATAATGCCATCCATTTTATGTTGTCGAAATTCAACTTTACTTACAAGAATGAGATATTAATCTCAACCAATTAACTAACGAAACTAACATGTGACAAACACAATTAATATCCCGTAACGATCCCCATGAACAAAGATGGTCGGAGCCATTTGTTATGTTACAGTGGTTATAGCCAAGAACAACAAACATAGCTTACCTTCTATTTTACTAACAACATTATGCAATTAAAAATAATTTAGCATGTGAGTATCTGTGGAGGATTTGCTCTGCCAAACCGAATCCCGGTTTTATAGATTTTATTAAATTGTGATTAGATGCTCAAATCTTGGTCAACACAGAATGGCCAATTTGTATGATTCAGTTTTGTTGAATCATATTGGCCTTTCTGTGGTGGCAAAGGTTCAAACATCTAACATTATGTGTAGTGTAGACAGGCACTCCATGATGAGGCAGTTCTGTGATTTCAGAATTTTGTAAATGAGGCTGAAGCTCACCAAGGACATTGTTGCATTCTTTGTCAACATATCCTGTTAATGAACCCATCTATATGAGGAATGGGGGCATGTGTTGTTGTTGAAAAGAATGATTTCTCATGAACACCTAACATCTATAAGCCAAAGAGACATGCATTATGATAGGTGTGAGATATATGGTTGAAAAAGAAAAACAGAAAAAAATAGTAGTCATGAACTTTTGAAAGAATGTTTGATCAATATGGTTGTTCCTACAGAAAACTCTAATCAAACATACTGGGGATACATGTAATAGGTAATGTGATGAAACCTACATAGAAAACTAGGGAGAAAATTGGATAAGAAAAAAAAAATACTAGATACTATGAATGAATGTATTAGATTTTTGACCCGAATTTGCATAGAAACATGGCTGTTGGTCTCCCTCAGATCCAAACAAGCTAAAGGTATTCTCTGTTAAGCAATAGCATGCATGGTTGGGATGCTATAAATACACTGATTGCAGAATAATCTTTACACTCTGACAGCGTTATTCTCCCGCAGTTTAATTTGGTTATGTAGCAGCACCTCATTCTTGGTCATATTTTTCAAACCACTTTTCTTCACAGTGCCATTGCTTTTTGTCATTTGATTCTTTATTCTTCCACTTGTCACATTCATTAAAGAGACTATGATTAAGGAAACTACCCTATAATGATAAGCATCTGTAAATTCGATTCTTTTATATCTAGTATTGGTGGTTGTTTTCTTATGTAAACACTTGTGATAGAGTTTCAAAACAACTTCCTTAAGACTTAAGCTTTTGTGCAGAAAACATGAAATATTTAATTGCTAAAACCAATTACTATAATTTGGCAAGGAAGGTAAAACAGTAATTTATTTGATTTATTAGTGAATTACACCAACATATTCTATAAATGTTTACTACTAGACATTATCATATTTTATGGAATTTTTTTATAAAAATTTGCAAGAAATCAATTTTCTAAAATTTTTCTTGTAGATGTCAATTTTTGTAGGTAATTCCTTTATGGATAATTAGTTCCATGCGAATCTAAAATTGGCAAGTAATTTCTTGCAAAAAAAAATGCAGGAAGTATTATGGAAACAAATTGCAGAAAAATTCTTGGAAAAAACAAAAATTCACAGGAAATATTTATGCGAAATCCATAGCAAATGTTTTTGCGAAAAAGAAGTCATAGAAAATATTTTTACAAATAAAATTGCAAGAAATGTTTTTGTAAAAAAGACTCCAGGAAGAAATTATAGGAAAAGCTAAAAAAGTTACCATTAAAGAAAATTACACGAAATACTACTAAAGAAATTACATAATATTTATATAGAAAAAAATATTAATGTATAATCATTAAATACTTACAAAACTAAATTATCATTATCATTATCATTTTGCTAAAATTTTATTATAAAAAATTCATTCTATAACTATATGTTATACTTTATAAGGAGAAGAAGTTTAAATTATAATGATTATTTAAAATTGAGTTTCTATGATTAAATTATGTTATTCCAATATGTTAAAAATAAATTAGGCGTTTCAATTTTTTCTTAAAAGTTAAATGAAAAAATATCTACAAAAATTATATATATATATATATATATATATTAATTATTAATATTATTTTATTTACTTTACGTTTATTTGAAGATTAATATATATATATATATATATATATATATATATAATACTAAAATTATATAATAATAAATAAGTAATGTTTTTTTTAATCACGAACAACTATTATACAACATTGCAATATGTTGGCAAGATTGGTAATAAATAAGTCTTTGTACTTCACGATTTTTATTTCAAAAAATTATTCACAAAAAATATTTACAATTTTTTCAAAAAAAAAATTCAATGACTGGCAATTTTCTTAAAAAAAAATTTATAAGAAATAGTTAGAAATTTTTTTTGCAAATAAATTATTTATATTAAGTTTCTACAAATTTTATTGCAAATATATAAACAAAATTTGAAAATAAAAATTTAGAAGAAAATTAGTAAAAGTTTAAATTTATTTATTACAAATTATTTTATGACTACAAATTTACAGGAAATGTTTAGTAATATTTAAATAAGTGATAGAAAATTTTGAAAAAGAAAAATTTTATGAAATTTTTACAAATTATATTTTACAGGAAAATAAAATAGAATATTTAAATATATTATTTTTAAATAATTAAATGATTTATTAAATAGAATATTTTTAACAAAAAAAATATACAATATGTAAATCTAATTTTTGGATGCAACTTTTTCTTTGCGTGTGGGTCGGGTCAATGGATGCAATTTTGATGGTAAAGAGAAATTAAAAAAAAATGATTTTTGCGCTTAGCGCTTATATTTTTTAAAATACCCTCTAATGATAAGGATCTTTCTTCCTGTAACCTAAATATTTTGGATTTACACATGATTTTAAGTTTCTGATTTAAGCAATTTGAAATAATTAAATATTATGTTTTTTCAAATTCTGGTAAATACATGAATATTTGTTATGTCTAAAACGTGATATAATTGCAAATAGACATGAATTGCATGTGTCTCATTCCACCTTCTAAACCAATTTTTCTAAATTTATTAAAAAAGAAAAAGAAAAAAGAAAAATTATGTATCCAATATGTCAATCAAACTCACTATTTTGAAAATTGAATTTAACTGCTTCATTTAAGAACTAGTTTAAAAATCCTAAACTTTAAATCTTAAATTCTAAACATTACTTTTAAATAACCAAATTTTAATTAAATTGATATAAAATCAATAAAAAAATAAAAAATAAACTAAATTTTTAGGTCGAATCAATTTTAAAAAAATATTAAAAATTTTAAATTTTTTAAATATAATATTTTATCAAAAAATATAATCATTTTTTTTTAATTCAAAACATATCAATTTTAAATAATAATGATTTTATTAGTAATTTTTATTATAGTTTATAATAATTATAATAATCATATTTATTATTATTTTTATAATAAAATTTATTATTAATAATAAATTTATTATATATTTATTATTTTTTTAAAATATTATTTTATTAAAAAAAACATTGATTCTACATATAAATATTGAATTCATATTTTCAACAATTCATCAAATTTAAAAAAAAAAACTTTTCTCAAAATATGATTCTACATATATCATAATTTCTATAAAATCTGACTGAATCAAATTATCCTTTCAATTCAAAATACAACATTTGAACTTTCCCACCATCAAAGGGTAGAATTCAGCCAAAAGTTCTTATACTCTAAGAAAAAAACAAATGCATATTAGGAGTACGTAATCTTACAGATCTTTTACTTCTACACCAAGCTTCCAAACATTTAGTTTGAATGATCTAATACTTTCAAAGAACTATTCTGTAATTCTCTTAATTATCAGTTTTACACACAAGAATGAGTACATTATGTTGGGACAAGAAAATGGCCTTCATCCTGACTGTTGAACCAGAGTAGAGGAGTAGCTATCGCAAGAAGAGCAAAAGAAATGCCACAAACTAATTTATGCTTAGTCTTTTGAAATGGCTTTACCACGAGAACAGTTTCAGTATCATTTCTACTCTCAGGGCGACCAAACTCAGAAGGCCTCTGCATATCAGAGTTAATAGGATTGTCATATGTCGATGAGACTGACTCAGGTCCTCCTTGGAACTGATCATCACTGTATAATCCTCCATTCTCTTTAGAATCATAGTTGACATGATCTACCATACCATTTTGATCATATGTTGTAAAAGATGTTGGACTCCACATAATATTGCCTGATGATAGACTCTTGATCCTTCTTCTATTCAGTTTCTCAGAGCAATCTGAAATCTCATCATTTGAGTCTTGAAGAGAGTGAATAAGCTTTCTAGGAGTCATAAAATTTTTTAAGTTGTACTGCGTGTGGGATTTCTGAGTACAAAGGAGAAGGCAACATGTTAGTTTTTTGGAACAAAAGAAGAACTTGTGATTTTAATGACAAACATGCTAGCATAGGAAATCATTAAAGTTTCATTTAACATAAGAATGTGAGTTGTGTGTACTGCCATAAAATCGACAACTTTTATAGTCAGCTAAAAATACGTTTGAATTGATATGCAAAGAGAAAAACTAAAGCTAGCTAAGTAATGAAGCACTCATGTTCATGCAAATACGCTACTAAATGGTGCATGAAAGGCTAAAAAACATCAAGCTAAACACACGTAAGATATATAACAATCATATGTTAGCTCTTCTTCCTATTTCTAGTTTTTTTCTTATTTTAAGAAAGTCACTGATAAAATTATTTCAAGGAGTAATGGCTAACAAGTAATCTTCATTGTGACATACTTTCTTCATTAAGCTCATTTCAAAAAACAATGTTAACAAATATTTGTGAAAGGAGTAAAAGAATTTGGATTAATAACAAAGCAACAAGTATATAAAATAATAAGTACATGTAAACAACTCGCTAGAATGATAAAATCTAACACTAGAAACATTTGATTGGTGGACAACTAATAGATGATAGAAGTGCTGAAAGTGGCAAACTGCAGTGTAGACAGTAAAGGGGATTTGAAAATATTAGAAAGTGCAACCATTTCAAGTTAAAAAAGCAAGACAAGGAGGGAATCACTTTGAAAATGGATACTCTTAAAATTTAAATTGCGAGTGAGGGCTTTAAAGCTATCCTACATATGAAATTTTATTCGCAGAATTTTAATAAAACCTGGCTCACATCTGATACACTTACTAGAGGACTTGTGCTGGCACTTCTAGATGCTCCATGCCATGGACTTTTGTTCGTGAAACCATTAAACTCCCCTGTTAAATCTCCCCCTCCATTAGAAAATCCATGATCCATAGTGTGCTCCAAAGAGGCATTTTCATGCCCTGACTTTGAGAACAAACCATCCTTGAGAGACACATCAACCCCTCCATTTTCAAGACTCCAAAGCTTCCTATTCACACTCCTTCCTTCGTAGAAGTTCTGAGAAGGCAGACTTGTTAAAATGGGAGACCCATCAGGGGATGGGTATCCATTGAAGAAGTCCAAGGTACTGGTAACTGACCCAGGAGAAATAGATGATGGAGAACAATGTCCATCACCAAAAGAACTTTCTCCGTCCATAAAGTCTTTCCTACTGAAATTTGAACCCGTCACCGATGCAGGAGTCTTCACAATTCTTGATTTGTTATCAGTGATAATCATCTTAGCAGTTTGCAAAGCCTCAAATGCTGCTCCTTTGACATATGCCATTTTGTCAGATTGACACAGCTTCATCACCTCAATTATCTGTTCGACCTCCGAAATTATGCTCCTGGAATCTAAACATTTCATCAAGAAGTTCACCATTCTGATGGCTACAAACCGCTTCTGAGAATTTCCCTCCAAAGGCTCACTGCCAGGATTTAGAATTCGCAATCCAGATTGTATGAGCAATCTAGCATAGGCTTCAACAATCAAAGCATTACGCTCTGCCAGGGTCATGACAAGATCCATGTGTGAATTGGTTTGAGTAGACTTTCCCTCCAATGCCACAGCAACATTCTGGCAAACCCTATTCACCATCTCATCTGAAGCAAAACGCCAGTTATCTGAATCCACAAGTGCCTTCAAGCAAAGGGCCGCACCACATGTCAAACCTTCTTGAGAACTTGAGAGAGAGTCTGAAAGGGGCTTACAAAGAGAGTGAATTATTTGCCTCTTCTTCTCTTCGGGGGTAGTGGGGTCAATTCCATATCTTGCTATGGCCGGAACCACCTTTGAGCAAGCCTGCTGAAGAGGAAACGACCCTGCACTTGAAGCCAAGGTCTGAATTATAGATTGCATAATGCTGTCTATCATGGGAACAATCTTGACTCCATGAACCCGAGCAAGAACCTCGTACAGTGAAATTGTGAATTCTCCAGACAAAGAACCAGTTTCCTTGGTCTCAGAAACTTGAGCAAGAAAGATAGGAATTGTCTTCATATCCAGATCTTTCACATATGACTTTAATGCTCTCATTGCAGATTTGCGGCTATCTGCATCTTTGTCAAGATTTTGGATCTCTCTTCGTAACATTGGGCTCAAACTCCTCCCCATTATGGAGCTAAGACATAAGAAAGAAAAAAAAAATTCCCATGAGCAACAAATAGCAAGACTAAAGGACAAGTACAAACCACATTGAGCAAACACAAAAAATATTCATCTCATTTAGGATATTCTTCCTACTGCAAAAAACACACCCCACCCACACTACCCAAATTTTCTACTCCAATAATTTGAGTCAAAGTTCACAATTTTTTCAAGCAAAAATCAAATAAATGCTTCGCAACTGGGACAGTCAAAATTCATAATTGAATGATAAAAGTTAACAATTTGAATTCAAGTTCATAGAACAAAATGATTAATCTTGCAAATAGGACAGTGAAAGACCATACAAAAGAATGAAAAAACCCAGTGACTGCAGACCCAATTACTCCCTTTGTGGTCTTCATGCTATACCGATCAAACAACTCTTTTAAGAAAATACTAAAAACTAAACAAAAATGCCATAAGAAAGGAACATTCCAGCTTTCAATTGTAAATCAAACTATACAGAAGCAAAAAAAGTTAAAATTCAATTTACAAAACACCTGTGTTATGCAATTGAGGACAAGAGAGTAGTAGCACTTAGCAGCACTGAAGAGCAAAAGAGAGAGAGGATAACAGAGTGGTAAAAAGAGAGAGAAGATAAACAATGAGTCAGAATCAAAATCTGTGTATAGGGCTTCACTCGGAAATTCAAATTGAGCATGTTTTTAGGGATTGTGTAATGATGACAGCTGTTTCTTACTTTGCTTTATGTTTTCATTTTTGGCTTATAACGTTGTTGGAAGGTGTGACTGTTTCATTCATTTGAATAGTTTCGTTTCAAAATCATTTCAATAAAATTCCACCGCTGTCCCTCCCTTCTTGGGTCCCGCCACAAATTAAAACCTTTCCAGACAAAAATACCCTCGATACGTTTTTTTTATTTAATTAAATTATATTGACACCTTTCTCTTATTTGAATTTTTCATAAAAATACTTACTATTCATTTATGTTGAAATAATTATGCATTAAATCTCTTTTATTATTTGTAATATGATTTGAATATTTTATGGATTGTTATGGTAAAGAAATAATTTGACAAACCAAAAGAAATTTGTAGATAGCACTTAAAAGAGTTAACATAATAATATGAATAAAGTAATTTGTAGAAATAAAGTATTTTTTGCAGGAACTTGGATTAAAGTGTTATAATTTAGTATTATATTTGAAAAAAATATTGAATACTCAAAACAAAAATGCATAATTCATAAAAAAAAAAGTAATTTATAGTAGACTTAAGCAATATGTTAAAAATTAATAAGTCATCTAAAAACTTTGTTTTTCAGACTTAATTGAAAAAACTCTTAAGAGGTATTGAATAATTTAGAAATAAATTAAAAATCATGTCATAAAATCACTTATTTGTAAATATTCACCACCAAATTTTGATCAAGTATTTTACTTGATGATAAACAAGAAAAAAAAATCACTTGCTCTATCTTCTTTCTTTTGAAATGTCTATGCAATAAATTATATATATATATATATATATATATATATATATATATATATATATTAATGAATGAGAGAGATAAATCCTATAGAGATTTCATATCTCTACCTTCATTATTTATTATTAATATAAAATAAAATAACCTATAATGATTGACTTTTTTTATATTCATTATAAATGAAATAATATAATATAAAATAAAATATTATTTAGATAAGATATTAAGTGTAACTACTTTACAATTATAATAAATTTTAATTCCAATTAAATATATATTTTGTTCTTATAAAATTGTTGACAAAATAATTTATAACTTAAAAGTTGTTCTATTATAATGAATTAGTAATAATAAAGAGAGAGGGTAATGTGGTCAATTGAACATCTTATATGACTCTTGGGAATGAATGCCCCCATGAATCCCGTGACTCCTCAGGGGTTTCCCGCCTTTGAAATTGAAATGAAAAATGAAAAAAATAAAATAAATTTGGTAACTTATTGTTAACAATCATTGTATTCTTCTTATTATTTATTTTTGTGCGTGGATAAAATACATAAGTGAATAAAGTATTTTAATTTATTATATTATTTAACACGTAATATTTTTAAAATAAAGTTATTAAAATAAAAATATTAATTATTAAAAATTATTTATAATTAAAATTTATAGATTTATGAAATTATAAAATTAAATTTATTGGAAAAAACTTATATTATTTAAATTAATATTTTATAAAGATTAATTTTATTTATGTTATTATTTTATGATTTAGTTTATTTAAATTATATTTTATGAAAAAATTCCTAAAATATATATTTAAAAAATAAAATAATTTGATTTTAAAATAAAATATATATAAATACTGCTACTTATATTATTCTTTTTGTACATATGGGAAAAAATATTTTGATACATAAGATAGAAAAAATAGAATACTGCTACTTGTATTATTCTTATCAGAATTATTTTAGATAATAATTTATATATTTATTTAATATTAATTATTATATTTTCAATATAATACTATATATGATTAAGTAATTACGTATAGATTATTTCCATTCTATGTATTTATATAAAGAATATTTTAACTATATAATATCATAAAATTTGAGAATTAGGACTGATATACTTACTATTCTTATATTTTATAATGTTTAAATTATAGTTACGAAATTCTTTGGAGTCATGATATAAGTTAACCCTACATATTTTAGAATTATTATAACTAATTAATTATTCAATTATGTCTAGACTTATGTTATTTGTCTATTTATATAAAATGGTGTTTTATTTATAATATTATTTTTATAAAATTATGTTTTTTATTTATAATTTAAAATTTAAGATGAGAAAGAAAAATGAAATAAAATCTGTAATTAAAAGTATTTTAAGGAGAGAAAGAAATGATACAAATAAGTAATTAATAATGTTTAAAGAATAGAGAGGAATGATATTTTTTATTAATTATATTGAAAAAATAAAAAACCAAAGAAGCATATAATTATAAGAGAGGATAAAAGATCAAGATAAATAAAATATGATGGATGAAAAAAAATTATAAGAAAAATTCTCTTTATATATGTTATTATATATAAAATTGCAAGAAGAGTTTAATAATATTAATAAGTGGCAGAAAAAATCATAGATAATTTTATTTTATAAATTTTCTTATAATTTTTTTTACAAAAATATAATATAATATTTCAAATTTATTATTTTAAAATAATTTATTTAATAAAATATTATTTTACTAAATTAATTATAAAATTTTTGTTCAATAAATTAAATCAATAATTAGTTATTCAAATATAATTATAGTTTTTGTTTTTATCTTCAAATGTAATATAATTAAAAATATAATAAAGTTTTATTTTTATTAAATATTAATATTATAATTATTTCATAATAAATATTTTTATTCTTGAAAAAAATATATAAATAAATCAGAAAATAAATAATTTTATTCATTCAAACAAATTGACTTAATCACAAATAAAAATAAAATTTAGATGAGTTATATATTTTTTAAATAAATGAAAGGTCTATTTACTAAAACACTTCTAATAAAAAAAATATTTAAATAGTTTTTTCTTTTATATATATATATAAATAAAATAAAATAATTTATAAATTTCGTAATGTTTTAAATAATAAAAATATGTTTAATACTAATAATTTGTCATTATTATGTCATTGAGAGGTTAGTTATACGTTATTATATTAATGTTTTTTTATTCTACATTATTATAAGTCCGTCATATTATAATTTATTCTTAAAATTAGAGAATGAGATACTATTGAAATTTAATTTGTTAATACGTAAATATTATTGTAAATTATTATTTTTATGTAAGATTTGGTATTTTTGTTAAAAATTTTAAGCAAACAATAACAAAAATTTTTTTGAACTCCTTGTTGTTCTGACTTCTTTGTCTTCCTTATAATATTTCAACACTTAATTATTGATTATGTATGTTTTTTAATAATGAATCCTGTTGAATTATTGAATTTTGAAATTGTAATCTGTCATTTTTTTATCAATTAAAGAAGAAGGAAAAATGATTACATAGGTTAAGTTTTTTGTTGATGGGAGCTATTGTTTTTATTGCATTCTAACGATAATAAATTATTATATATATATATATATATATATTTAATTAATAATAATAATTTTTTAATAATTAATATTTATAAATTAAATAAATTTTTATAATTTTGTCAAGTTTTAAAAGAATAATATAACAAAAAAATTTATGTATATTTTAAAATGTTTTATTAAAACATCCTATGAATTTCTTTGAAAAAATAAACCAGTAAAAAATTTGTACTAATGTTTCCTTGAAATAAAACAACAGAAATGTTAGTATTTTTTATAATGTTTTTTTTGGCAAGAACAGTTTTGGTAATTATTTTTTACAACAATATTTCTTACAACGTTTCTTGCAACTCTTTAAAAATATTTTCTACGATTTTTTTTACAACAAATTTTATAATTTTTTTCGAATTTTATATCTTACTAATTAGTTATCAAGGAACGAATTATTAATAAAGAAAAAATCATAGGAAACTTATTTTTTAAGGGTTTTTATAAAAAAATTTGAAAAAAATTACGATGAAAATTGGAAATTATGAAATTACTATTTTCAATCGTTACCAAAAAACATAAAGTATTAATGAACAATAGTTAAAACAAAGTATAAGTTATTCATTCAGTAATTTTGAAATTGTAAAAGGTTTAGTGTCAAATTTTTAAAAAATTCGTAATGACTATTTTTTCACTACTTTTGTTTTTTCAAGTGAATTGATATTTTTCACCTTTTTAAATAATCCTTGAAATATCTATTTTAAATATCCTTGAGAAAATGTCTATCATCTCACGAACATGTGAAGAGAAAAACATAAATATCTCACTGACATTCTCTGTATGTGGTGACAAAACAAAGGCTGAAACTGAAAAATCTAAATTGATAAGAAATAACAATGGTGATAAAATTTATCACGTTATCCACTTAAAACCACATTTTAGCCATGCCAACAAGAACAAGAAAATGTTCTCTTCTTCCTCCTCAATGAAGTAGAAAGACCCCATTTGGTGTGAAGCATGACCATGATGGTTTTTGGCTCACTTTTTTGCTCCACTCGTTTCATTCCCACACCCTTTAATAATCCTGCTACAAACATACTTTCTCCACGACACACTTGTGCCACTTTCATTCCCCACAAGCAGTGCAAGAGAGAGTTTCCTCTCCCTGCAGTGGCTTCAGTCCCTTACCAACCTATCAACTTGGACTACCTGCAAGAGGAATTCAGTGGACATGGAGTCACCTTTGAAGGAGCTGGTGACAGCTGCGTTGCCAAGATGGAGCTGAAAAATGGGAGCACTGTGACCATGATGCTGCCAAGTGGGTTGATCACCTCATACAAGGCCCTCATGTGGCATGGGGGCAAGATGGAGTTGCTCCACACTGCTGTGTCAGAGGGAGAGGATGGTGGTCCTATCATTCAAGGAGGGGTGTCTTTAAACTTCAATTTTCAAACTGATGATGGTCAACACTCTTGGTCTCCAACTAACTGGGTTCTCCATAAGATTCATGGCAATGCTAAGAAATCCATTCAGGTCTGTTTTCCCTTGAGTAATTTATCAGAGTGTGTAAAATATGAGATTATCTTTTATGCACCATTAATTAGTTTAAAGATTTTTACATTGTAAATCAATCAGAGATTATTCTAAACATGACTTTTAAAGAAATTATTATAAAAGTAAAAGAAATTCAGACTATATAGAAAATATATGATTCAAACAATGATATAAACCATCTTTACATCATCTGTTAATTAATTAAATTCTTATTTTGTTCTATTCATCGTATATCATATTCTTTTTAACACTATATGAGCTTCCCTTTGGATTATCACTAGAATTATAACCTGTGCTTGAGAAATGGGTCTTGGAGCTTACCTATTAATAGATACTTATTATGTTCCTATCAATAGAGAAATGGGTATTGGGTCTTGGATCTTAGATCTTGTCTTGGATCTTAGATCTTCCATCTATCCTCATAGATATTTAAGTTCATTTTGACTTATAATTTCACTTTCTCTTATTTATTCTCAATAAAATATATGTTCCAGTAGGAGGTACTTGTGATTATGTACATTAGTAACTATTTACTTTAGACATCTTAAGGATATCTTATGCAGGTAGAATTAACAAACAGAACACCAGATGACAAGATTGGATTGCAATACACTGTGACTTTGGAAAACGATGCCTTAAATTCAGAGCTTGAAATATCGAACAAAAGATCTTTACCCCTTCGAATGACAGGGTCCATCCTAAGTCATCTGACACTAAGCTCACCAGAAGCAACTTATGCAATAGGATTAGAAGGATCAAGTTACTATAACACACCCTTGCTTGAATCTGAATTTATGATGAGTCCTGAAGATTCAGGCCAGGAAGAAGGCTTTGGAGAAACAAGTCAGAATAATGGATCAGAGGGTAGTCATCTAAATAACGAAGAAATAGACAACTACAAGCAATTAAGTGAGAAGTTAAGTCTTTTGTACACAGAAGCACCGCGAAATTTCACAGTGATTGACAGGGTATGTAGTTATCATTCCCAACATGTGGAATAGGTATTGATAAGTACACATACAATTAAACACTTTTCAATATTTTCATTCATTCAATTAGATAACACCTCGTAATTGTTGAGCTTGTGCATGTACCTCACATAGTTTATGCAAGAGTTTTTTTCTGTAGAGTATATATTCTTGGTCTGAATATATTCTGACATGATTCTGAATATTGACACTAAATGAGAAGCTTTGTCGGATTGTATACTCCAGTTGTTTCCTTCTCCATCTCTATTTTCCTTGGTGTACTACTCCATGCATGTATCTCTTCTTGATATAACTACATCACCAGTCATATTGAACATGTTCAATGCAATTTCAAAGTTGCATTTTTGTGAACAGATTTTAGAATTTCAAAATCAATCATTACTCCATGTTTTCATTAAGTTTCTTGCTAAAACTTTGAAACAAAATAGTATTTCAAAGCTAAAACTTTTGGTATCAATGTAGATAGGAAAACTGCATGGTAGTTTCAGTTTCATTCTTCACACAATCTCATCCAAAATCATTGGTTTTATCAGGGTAGAAGAAACTCAGTGTCGGTTGGCAGAAAAGGATTTGATGAAATGTATCTCTTCAGTCCTGGCTCAAGCGTGGAAATTTACAGCAAATGTTCTTACATATGTGTAGGCCAAGCTTCCATCCTCAAACCAATAATTATAAATCCTCAAGATGTATGGAGGGGTGGACAATATGTTTACAATCCAAATCTTGATGCGTAATTGCCTTTACACTTGTCTTAGGCAAATTAATTGATTAGAAAAACAGATATATATGCATTATGTACATGTCCTTTTGAAATTTTATTTTTGTTGAGTTGAGTAGAGCACAACAGGTTGATGAATACAAAAGGGTGACAAATTGGAAACAGTATTAATATAATTTTCCTTATGCCAAATGGCCTTGTACAATTTCTAATGATAAAATTGTTAATTTTCCTCGTCTCTTCATCAAGGTTAGCAAATCTTAAAACTACTTAAAATCATTCTAGTGATAAAATTAACCACCCAATAATGTATACTCACTAAAATAATAACATAACAAATATGAGATACTATAATATGTGTCATTTTATTTATTGGATGAAAATTATGAAGGGGAGGGTGTTGCTTTAATTGACTGCTTTATGTATTTATTAATACATGCATCTTTGTGCATGTCTAAAACGTGATTTAATTGCATATGGGCATGAAACATTGCATGTGTCGCAATAAAAAAAATAAACTTCCCATGATACAATATCTAGTTTACATATATCATCATTTCTATTAAATTTGATTGAATCAAATTATCCTTTCACACCACCAGAAGGTAGAATTGAGCGAAAAGTTCTTGTACTTTATAAAGAAAAAAAATAAATGTACAATGGAGTGCGCAATTTTACAAATATTTTTCTTCTACACCAAGCTTCCCAAATCATTTAGTCTGAATGAGCTAATACTTTCACAAAGTTATTCTATAACTCTCTTTATTGGGACAAGAAAATGGTCTTCATCCTGATTGTTGATCCAGAGTAGAGGAGTAGATGTTGCAAGAAGAGAAAAAGAAATGACACAAACTAATTTATGTTTAGTCTTTTGAAATGACTTTCCCATGAGGACAGTTTCAGTGTCATTTCTACTTTCAGGATCGAACTTGGAAGACTTCTGCATATCAGAGTTAATAGGATTGCCATATGTTGATGAGACTGACTCAGGTCCACCTTGGAACTGATCATCACTGAAGTTTGTACACAAAAAATAAGTGACTTAGCCCAAGAGTTTGCTGGTTAGCCCAGAAGGATTCTTTAACTCCTAGTTCTTTAAAATATCTACAGTTTAAAGTTTTGCAGAACTAAAGTACTAAATATAGTTAAAAAGTGAAGAATACGACTAAGAAAATATATTACACCACAAAAGGATTAAAACAGAAACAAAGTAAAAATTATGTTGCTCATGACTTTGGAGAGCTTCAGTCCTCTCAATCATCTTCCTCTCCATCATCATCCTCTGATTCTTCTTCTTCAGCCTCCCCTTCATGCTGCTGTACAACTCTATCTTAAAATCCTTCATCTTCTTCCCCTGATTCCTCCTGTTCAGCGTGATGTCCTCCACTGGTTTCTTCTGCAATACCAGCAGCTCCACTCCCCCAGGGAAAATAGGACTGTCCCCAGGCCAAGCAACTGTCTGTTGAAATTGGTCAGGGATCTACTCTGACGGGCTCTGGTGCGGGTGAATATTCATTCTGTAGAACGAGTCATTTAGAGAAGTGTAAGCCCTGTGGTTGGCTGCCATCTGTTGATGTAAATGACTGAAATGAGTGGTCATGAAGTCATACATAGTAAAGTAGTCAGTTGTGGCCGCGGGTTGGGGATGTGGCAGTGCTCGAGGTCTACGGGCTGACCCTTGTGCGCCTTCAAGAGGGTTGCGACAATGAGTCTCGACATATGCAGCATTAATAGGAGGTCGCAGATGTCGGACCGGATGGGAAGGTATTTGCACTCCGTGAGCTCGACACAACCCTGTTATGAGCCCAAGAAAGCCCAAGGGCTTGGTTACACCTCTGGCAGAAGGGGAGGATAAAACTAACTTTTGTAGCTCATCGGAAATAATATCTGCTATGTCTACTGTGAGCCCCCTATGCATAATGCAATAAATAGGCGCAGCTTTGTCCATGTTCACAGAGTATTGGGTGTGACATTGGCTAGGACAAAATTGACGCAGATTTGGGCCACTGTCTTCAAGCTCGACCGGAGTATGTGGATAGGTTTCCCAGTTATACCAACCTCGTCAGTGTGACCTGGTTTGCATAGATCCACAGTGATGGTGGGTGCCCTAAGTTGGTGGCTTCTGGTCAGGTGTCTATAGCAGTCTCCCGGATCATATGTGTAGGGATTTCCTAAGTAGGTGTTAATTGCGTCCCTATCATATCTAATTCTATGACCTCTTACCCATGAAATTCTCTCTGAGTGTCCGTCTTCTCTATTGGGTATGCGTTTGCATAGAATTCTCGGACTATGTCTTCATTAAATTTGGCCGGAGGTGCTGCCGTATACCCCAGTTTTTTCTTCTGATCATTTCCTAAAACTCCTCATACTCTCCTTGTCCCAGTTCGACTCTTCTTTCACAAAGAAAACTCCTAGTTTCCAGCTCTATAAAGCGATGTTGTTTGGCCCGGTTTAAGAATTTGTGACGATCCAGCCGACCCAACAATTCTTCTCCTTCGTCCATTTCCTCAGGTTCTTCATGAGGAGGACTTCGAGCTGGCCTGGATCTGGAGGAGGAGACTTCTCCTTTCCTTTCTTGAAGACTGGGATTGATTTCTTAGTAGCCATGCTGTAAAGAAAACAAAAGAAGATCAAAACAAATAATTACACCGGATGAAAACACTATGCTCCTTTGAACCCCTTCAGAGAAATATGCATACGATTCAATCACAACACTTTTGATCCTAATTTCGCTCAGCCCATAGCTGAGGAATGAGCATGCATACAAGTGACCTTACTGTGACAAATCTGCTAAGCGGAATGGTGCCCGCTAAGCGGAATAATATCCGCTGGGCGGATTGGGATCCGCTCAGCGGTTCTGTCAGTCCACCGATCTTTATCTGCCCATCGTTGCATAATTGGGGTTCTCATACAATGTAGCACAAAAACCATTCATATATCAGTAGCAACAGAGTATTGCACTACCAATTAAGTCTATTGAACCTTAACATTCCTTAAAAAATCAAATTGGGAAAAAATAGGAACCCTAACCTTCGAGGTGTATAGCATGTTCGATACTATTCAGCCCAACTCATGATTTACAAAATATACGCACATTATTTAAGCAACAATCAATATCCAAGCACATTATGCAGTATATGTTCACAACACCACATTTCGCTTCAATTTTTCATACGCAAACAGGAAGTGTTGAGAGAGGAGTATGCTTACTTGATGTCACGGTGATTGGAGAGGAAAAGAAGTCTTAAAGTGAATGAGGATAAGATTTGTGAAAGTTTTGTTAGGAGAGAGGGCAGAGAAAACCTGGGAGAGGCTGGATGAAAGTGATGGGATGCGCGGGTACTCTGCTTTCAAGTAAAAAAATTTCTTGGCAGAGACTACCTACCTATAACTACCAATATGCTTACTTGTGATAACTACCAACATGAACGAAACTGAAACAGCACTTGTGATAACTACCAATAACTACCTCTATGCTTACTTCTCCCCTCTCTCTGCGTCCCTTCTTCTTCCTTTGCACCAAGTCCTATTCTGTTTCACACAAATGCAAATTCCTAAATCAAGCTTTTCCCAAACCCATTTCCGACAATCACAAGGTAATACTAAATCCGAAGCTACTTGGTTACCTCACGGTTCTTGTGCTGAAAAGTTTGTTCATTCTCTTTTTCTGTTCAGTTACTATGTCAAAATTTGAGTTTTGCTGCTTTCAGCAACACTGCATTGAGCTATGCCTACAGCAGCGACGACAGGGATGCAAATGGAATGGATTTCTTGCACCTCATGGAAGAGCGTGGGGTTCGTGCAAATTCCCAGACCTATTTGTTGCTTTTAGAAGGGTGTTTGAGTTCTGGGTCGTTTCCTGATGGTTGGAAGCTTCATGCGAAGATTCTGAAGATGGGTTTTTGTGCAGAAGTTGTTTTGTGTGAACGTCTTATGGACTTGTACATTGCCCTTGGTGACTTGGATGGCACAGTCAAGATGTTTGATGAAATGCCTGTTAGAACCTTGTCTTGTTGGAATAAGGTTTTGCATAGGTTTGTTGCTGGGAAAATGACTGATCAAGTTTTGGGTTTGTTTAGGCGAATGGTGAGGGAAAAGGTGAAGCCTGATGAGAAAACTTATGCTGGGGTTTTGAGGGGTTGCAGTGGTGGTGATGTTCCTTTCTACTATGTGGAACAGATACATGCAAGGACTATATCTCATGGCTATGAAAATAGTTTGTCGGTGTGTAATCCTCTGATTGATATGTATTTTAAAAATGGGTTTTTGAATTCTGCTAAGAAGGTCTTTGACAGCTTAAAGAAGAGGGACAGTGTTTCTTGGGTAGCTATGATATCTGGTTTATCGCGAAGTGGGTGTGAAGAAGAGGGGGTTCTTCTATTTTGTCAGATGCACACATTGGGACTCTATCCTACCCCTTACATATTTTCAAGTGTTCTAAGCGCATGTACTAAAATAGAGCTATTTAAGCTTGGAGAGCAGCTCCATTGCCTTGTTCTCAAGCAGGGATTCTCTTCTGAAACCTATGTTTGCAATGCCCTTGTGACATTATATTCACGTATGGGGAACTTTATATCTGCTGAGCAGGTTTTTAATGCAATTTTGCAGAGGGATGAAGTTTCGTATAATTCACTCATTTCAGGTTTAGCTCAACAAGGATATAGTGACAGAGCTTTAGGTTTGTTTAAGAAAATGTGCCTTGATTGCCTAAAGCCTGACTGTGTTACGCTTGCAAGTATTTTGAGTGCCTGTTCATCAGTTGGGGCTCTCCAGGTAGGAAAGCAATTTCACTCGTATGCTATTAAGGCTGGGATGTCTTCAGATATTATCTTGGAAGGCTCACTGCTTGATCTTTATGTAAAATGCTCGGATGTAAAAACTGCCCATGAATTTTTCCTTTCAACTGATACTGACAATGTGGTGTTGTGGAATGTGATGCTTGTGGCTTATGGCCAGATGGACAATTTAGACGAATCATTTAAAATATTTACACAGATGCAGATGCAAGGTATTGTACCAAATGAATTCACCTATCCAAGTATTTTGAGAATTTGCTCTTCTTTGAAGGCTCTTGATCTAGGAGAACAAATTCATACTCAAGTCCTAAAAACTGGCTTTCAGTTGAATGTGTATGTCTCTAGTGTGCTTATCGATATGTATGCTAAACTTGGAAATTTGTATACTGCACTGAAAATCCTTAGAAGATTAAAAGAGAAAGATGTTGTTTCTTGGACAGCCATGATTGCCGGGTACGTGCAGCATGAAAAATTTGCTGAGGCTCTTAACCTCTTTAAAGAAATGCAAGATGAAGGGATACAATCTGATAATATAGGATTTGCGAGTGCAATTAGTGCATGTGCAGGTATCCGAGCACTTGATCAAGGACGGCAAATTCATGCTCAAGCATGTGTCTCTGGTTATTCAGATGATAATTCAGTTGGTAATGCACTTGTTGGTCTTTATGCTAGGTGTGGGAAAGTACGACAAGCATACTTTGCTTTTGATAAAATATTTGCTAAAGATAATATATCATGGAACTCGTTGATATCTGGTTTTGCACAAAGTGGACATTGTGAGGATGCACTGAGTGTATTTTCTCAAATGAATAATGCTGCACTAGAAATCAATTCATTTACATTTGGCCCTGCTCTTAGTGCTGCTGCCAATATTGCTAAGGTTAAACTAGGGAAGCAGATTCATGCCATGATTTTAAAAACTGGTTATGATTCAGAAGCTGAAGTGTCTAATGTTTTGATCACACTGTATGCAAAATGTGGTACCATTGAAGATGCTGAGAGACAGTTTTTGGAAATGCCTGAGAAAAATGAGGTTTCTTGGAATGCCATGCTTACTGGTTATTCTCAACATGGTCGTGGATTTGAAGCATTAACCCTTTTTGAGGATATGAAGCAGCTTGATGTATTGCCAAATCATGTCACCTTTGTGGGAGTCTTATCAGCATGTAGTCATGTGGGTTTGGTTGATGAGGGAATTAACTATTTTCAATCAATGAGTGAAGTTCATGGTTTGGTGCCAAAACCTGAACATTATGCAAGTGTTGTAGATCTTCTTGGGAGATCTGGTCTTTTAAACCGTGCAAAGAGATTTGTTGAGGAGATGCCTATTCAACCAGATGCAATGGTCTGGCGGACCCTTTTAAGTGCTTCTATTGTTCATAATAATATTGATATTGGAGAGTTTGCGGCAAGTTATCTTCTGAAACTGGAACCTGAAGATTCCGCAACCTATGTTCTCCTTTCAAATATGTATGCAGTGACTGGGAAATGGGGTTGTAGGGATCGGACAAGGCAAATGATGAAAGATAGAGGTGTTAAAAAAGAGCCCGGTCGTAGCTGGATAGAGGTTAATAATTCAGTGCATGCATTTTTTGCTGGTGATCATAAACACCCTCATGCAGATAAGATATATGAATATCTCAGTGATTTGAGTGAAAAGGCTGCTGAAAATGGTTACATTCCACAGACCAATAGCCTTTTGAATGATGTAGAACGCCGTCAGAAGGGCCCAACACAAATTATTCACAGTGAGAAACTGGCAATTGCGTTTGCATTGCTTAGTTTGCCTAGCTCTACTCCTATCCATGTTTTTAAAAACCTTCGTGTTTGTGGTGATTGCCATAACTGGATTAAGCATGTCTCTAAGATCTCAGATCGAGTGATTGTAGTGAGAGATTCATATCGCTTTCATCATTTTAAGGATGGTATTTGTTCATGTAAAGATTACTGGTAAGATAGAAGAAGAAGATTCGTTGAAACGAAAGAATCCACCTAGACTTGCGGGATGGACCAAAATTTATGATAAGTGTTGCAGAATCATTTTTATTGGCCTAAATTAAATTATCGCATGTATTTACAAACTTATTTAAATTTATCTAATAAATTAAAAAATAAAAACTTGTTTACAAAATATTATATTATTTTTTAATGACGTTTAGAAATTATTTCAGTAATTTTAATTATTTAGTTTACTTAAAAATAGTTTATTAAATTGAAAATACAAATTATAAAACACTTTTCTGAACACTGCATTTTTCTAAATAACTGATAAAATAAAATGAATACCCAATAAAGGTATATTTATTACAGAAAAATGGTCATTCACGTAAATAACGTGCTAGATAGGTTATTTAAATAAGTATTTATTATAATAATACATTTTAAAAAAATCCAAAATATTTTATATTGTTAAGAAGTCAATAAATATTTCAATTTTTTTAATATTTATTTATTAAAATTTAACTGCAGGATCTGACAAAAATATTAATTTTTAATATATTTATTAATATTTTTAAACAATATTTTTATTATTTTAGTTTTTTTATTCAAAATATTTATAATAATTTGTGATATATTTTTATTTGTATAAATATATTTTTTCTAAATTTAGATGTCAACTTGTATTCTTCTTAAGCTAGGTGTGGGTTATAAGTTAATTTTTAATATATTTATTAATATTTTTAAACAATATTTTTATTATTTTAGTTTTTTTATTCAAAATATTTATAATAATTTGTTATATATTTTTATTTGTATAAATATATTTTTCCTAAATTTAGATGTCAACTTGTATTCTTCTTAAGCTAGGTGTGGGTTATAAGTTATAACTTGTGAGATTATTGATTTCTTGGTTTATTTTGGTTAAACTTATTTTTATTTATAATTTTAAAAATTATATTGGATCGATCGTTCAATCGTTTAAATAAAAGTTAGATTAAAAATCAGTTTATTATTTTTTAAATAATTAAATTTTAATTTAATTATAATAAAATTGATAAAATTAGAAATGGATTGAATTTTTTGGTTGAACCAATTTAAAAAAAATTATTTATATTTCAAATTTTTTTAATATAATTTTTTTTATGAAAGATATATTTTAGTTTTTTTTTATTTCATATTAATTACATCAACTTTAAATAATAGTTATTTTATTATATTTTTATCTTATTTTAACAATTATTCATCTTCCACCCTCTAATATATTTTATATTTATAATTTTTATGGTAATTTATGCTAATCATGACAATGATTTTTATTATTTTTCTTTATTGACAAAAATATTATTATTAATAAATTTATTATACTATAAAAATATTATTTTTATTAAATTCAATTAAATCTGATTGAACCTTTGAATCTATATCTTCACTGGTTCGATTTTAAAAATAATGATAAGTCCACACCATATTTATTATGTTCTCACCTAAACTGGTACAAATTTAACTCTGTCATTTCAATTTTAAATGTATAATAGTGATTTTCTTTATTGCATACTTATTTTCTCAATCTTTATATTCAAATATTATTATTAATATTTATATTTTTTTAATTCATTGTCTCAATAATCTTGTCTTTTTTGGTGCATTATATAAAATTAAAACTAAATATATTATTATATTTATTGGAAGTTCTACATCGCCTACCTCATGTCATTTTATATGGTTTAAATACATGTTAAGCTACTTCATATATTGTCAATTGATTTTATGTTGGAATCTTAACATGGTATCGAAGTCAAAACCTAACATTAAAAAAACATATAATTTTATTAAATTAAATTTAATTCCGATTAAACTCTAATGATTTAGGAATACAATCCTGATTCCATCCCGACTTTATATTTAAATTTAAATATTAAAATATCAGTATTTTTAAAATATTTCTTTTTCTTTATCCGTTATATATAAGGTATTTTTTTTACATTTCACCATTTTTACTTTTCTTCTATCCATTTTTTCATTCTTTTATATTTTTTAATCTTTTATATCAATTAATTTATCCATTACATTATTCTTTTTTTCTTTTTACCTCTCACTTACCCATATTTCCTCAATCTCTTTAATCCATTTGATTTTTTCAATCAATTTAATAAACATAAAGTTTTTTTTATCTTTTTTTAAGTATTCTACGACAATTTTAGTAGTAACTAATATTATTTTATTTTTATTAAATTTTATTAGGTTATATTTTTTTATTTTTATTTATCATATACAAATTTTATCTTAATAAAATAATTGTATTTTGAAAAATAACTGGTATTAGAAAATGCATGTGAGGGAGAAGAGGGAATATAGATGGTGATTGCAACACCATGAGTTTATTAAGTCTTGGAGTGGGAGAAAACAACGCCTAAGACTCTAAACCCTAAGGAAAATGTAAATTAATTGTCCCTCTTCATTATAACTTTATTTTTAAAAGATCAGGGGAACCTATAGGTTGGAATATGAGAATGTTGATCGGAGATGGGCATAAGACAAAATATTTTGAGGTGTATTGAAGAATTAAAATCAAAATAGAGGTGTGGAATGATTGTTGATTGGGAAAAACAAACCATGAAGATAAACAGACATTACTATTTGCGTCTCTCTGTGGTATGTTGGGTGAAAATCAAAGCCTAACAAATAAGGGATTGGCGGTGGATCCAGCGGAAGCAATGGAGCAAATTTTGAAGCATGCGTGTAGATGCCAACACCTAATTTCGACTGAAAGTTAAAAAAAAAAAAAACATGGGTAAAAATATTAAAAGATAATGTAAAAATAATTTAAAAACAAAATATAAAATAAGTGAAACATTTAAATGTTAAAAATATAACAACATGAGATGGATAAAAATAAAAATAAGTATTTATTAAAAAATATACTTACTATATAGTTTGATAAATAATAAAAACATCATTAAATTTTTTTTTATTTCAATAGTGTCTACTAGGCGGATTTTGTTATTGATTTTGAGGAGAGAAAATAATATATTATTAATAAATAATAAATGAATATGAAAATATGAAAAAATATAAAAGATAATGAGGTTAAGTTTGTAATACAAACAAGAATATTTAATAATCATTAAGTTTAGGGACTAAAATTATAAATATTAATATAAGTTATAAAAGTTTCAGAGAACTATTGTCTCCTCCTTTCTCAAGAAGTATTATTTATTTTTGGTAACAGACATTATTTTAGGTGAGATTCTACGGATTGTATCTGAGATAAGGAATATCATCATGTGATCGCGGTTATACGACGAAGTGAACTATTTGGATACTACATAGTCCCTCATCCTTAAGTATTAAACGCTGAGATTTTAAGGAAACCATGTTATCTAGTACGACATTAACATTTATATGTCAGTATTTGTGTGATGCAATAACTCAAACGCCTTATTCAAATCAAATGTCGTTTTTCATATGTTAACTCCAACGTAGCTATTTTGGTGGGATTGTGCTTGCCACATATTATTACGCTCGTCATGTATTATTACACTTGCCACATGTTATTACACTCACCCACCTGTTATTACATTCACAACGTGCGTGTTATTACTGCAAAAGTCTAAGGATGCCGCAATGACTGAAATCATCAAGATGTATGTTGTTAGCTTCATTGAGGCCATGTAGAAAATTATAGTTATGTTTCTAGAAGTCGATCATTCTATGATGTACCCCTTTCAAGAGTATGGTTAATGGGAAAATCATATCTTTGCATTTGACATTCATTGTAGTTCGCGTTTTTTTTCTTTTAATTTCAATTGTGCCTTAGTTTTTGAGGTATGCTCCTGGCTTTGTTGAGGCCATGAAGCAAATTGTGGGTATGTTTTTTAAAGTTGATCCGTTTGCGATGAACCCCTTCAAGAGTGTGGTTAATAGACAAATTGTGTCTTTGCATTTGATATTCATTGTGTTCGTGTTTTATTGATTTTAATTTCAATTGTGCCTTAGTTTCTGATTCATTGAGGTCATAAAGCATATTGTGGTTTTGTTTTTAAAAGTCAACTTGTTTGCAATAGACCTTTTAAGAGTGTGATTAATGGGTAAATTATACCTTTGCATTTGACATTTTTTGTGTTTGCGTTTTATTACTTTTAGTTTCAATTGTGTCTTAGTTTCTGAAATATGTCCCTGACTTTGTTAAAGCCACGAAACATATTGTGGTTTTATTTTTGGAAGTCGATTTGTCCATGATAGCCTATCAATTCATCTTGATTTGTATTCCATCTTGACTATGACGAATCAGCCCATCCCATTCGTTTTTAGCGGGCTAGAAACGAGATGGATCAAAATAGTCGGGTTGACCCATTTTGCTTTCCCTAATGACATTAATGTCTTAGTCATGCCTCATCTCGGCATTTAATGTTTCCTATTTGAATATTTAAAAACAATAAACAAATTTAAAATAAGATATCAATTTATAATTAAAAAGGCTAAAATAATTTTTCATCCACTATTTTTTTTTTAATTGTAGGGTTGGTTTCTTCATTTTAAAATAAGAGACATTTAGTCTCCTAAATTTTTTAAAAAGAAAAATTGTGATTTTAATATAATATTCTAAATTAAGACATTAACTACTAAAATATTAATGTTGATTTCGATTTGACTGATACTAATTCATATTATACTAAGATCATGCTTTACATTTTAAGGTGATTATCGTAAATTAAACATTGACCTTGCTACAATTTTATTATTTTATTTTGTTTATTTTGCATCAAATCCAATTTTTAAAATAATAAAAAAACTTATTTATAGTGTGTTATTTAAAGAAAGTCAACCTTAACATTTAAAATGCTAAACATTTTAATTTTGATTATTAGCTTAAAATCATTAATTTTAAAAAATCATACTAGATTTTTATATTTTAAAACAAGAAGATAAATTTGTGAAGGGAAAGTAATAAAAATATCAAAATTTTAATGTTGGTATAAGGAATATAAAAAAGAAAAGTAAACAAAAGCACGGGTAATTGTTTTTAAACCAATTATTTGTGTAGTTAAAATGTGATATTATTATTATTATTTTTATTTTATTATTATTTTTATTTATTTGTGTTGGTGTGAGTTTTTGGTGATATTTTTTTTGGTTATATGTGTTTGTCTGAGTTTTCCATTATTTTATGAATTTAATTATATTTCTTTGATTTTCTGTATACTCTTCTACTCTCTGCTTTTCTTCTCGTCTCAACCTTATTGCGCGTTATTAGGGTTTAGTGAGACAGTGCCGAGGCAGTGACTTAGAGTTGCCACATAGTTGAAGCGAGAACTCACCATTTCCAGGGTTCTAGGGTTATCTCAAACTGCAAGAACATGGGTTTCAACATTCAACCTTATGGAATTCAATCCATGCTCAAGGAAGGCCACAAACACCTTTCTGGTCTCGATGAGGCGGTTCTCAAGAACATCGACGCCTGCAAACAACTTTCCACTATCACTCGAACTTCCCTTGGACCCAATGGTAACAATCATGCTTGCCCTTTTTCGTTTTCACGCTTTTTAACTACCCCTAGTGGATGTTGCCTCTCCAGATTCCAAAAGTTTGGATTTTTGTAATGTGGGTTTATGTCCGTTTTCATTTTTCTTGATCTAGCGTTATGTGATGCAGTGCTAAGAGTAAATTTAATTTGCATGGAAGTTTGAGGAGGCTTGAGGATCAGTAGTTTTTGTTTTTCGTTTAAGAAGAGAATTTGCCCATTTTGGTTCTGGGGTGGTTTTTTGTTTGTTCTTGTATGAATCTGTTGCTAGTTGGTGTTTAAAGAAGGAAGGAAGTGTTTGTCTGGATAGATTTAGATTGTTTGTAATGTTTTGTTTGATCTGGTTCAGGTATGAATAAGATGGTAATAATAAATCCGAAGCTACTTGGTTACCCTCACGGTTCTTGTGCTGAAAAGTTTGTTCATTCTCTTTTTTCTGTTCAGTTACTGTGTCAAAATTTGAGATTTGCTGCTTTCAGCAACACTGCATTGAGCTATGCCTACAGCAGCGACGACAGGGATGCAAATGGAATGGATTTCTTGCACCTCATGGAAGAGCGTGGGGTTCGTGCGAATTCCCAGACATATTTGTTGCTTTTAGAAGGGTGTTTGAGTTCTGGGTCGTTTCCTGATGGTTGGAAGCTTCATGCGAAGATTCTGAAGATGGGTTTTTGTACAGAAGTGGTTTTGTGTGAATGTCTTATGGACTTGTACATTGCCCTTGGTGACTTGGATGGCACAGTCAAGATGTTTGATGAAATACCTGTTAGAACCTTGCCTTGTTGGAATAAGGTTTTGTATAGGTTTGTTGCTGGGAAAATGACTGATCAAGTTTTGGGTTTGTTTAGGCGAATGGTGAGGGAAAAGGTGAAGCCTGATGAGAAAACTTATGCTGGGGTTTTGAGGGGTTGCAGTGGTGGTGATGTTCCTTTCTACTATGTGGAACAGATACATGCAAGGACTATATCTCATGGTTATGAAAATAGTTTGTTGGTATGTAATCCTCTGATTGATTTGTATTTTAAAAATAGGTTTTTGAATTCTGCTAAGAACGTCTTTGACAGCTTAAAGAAGAGGGACAGTGTTTCTTGGCTAGCTATGATATCTGGTTTATCGCAAAGTGGGTGTGAAGAAGAGGGGGTTCTTCTATTTTGTCAGATGCACACATTGGGAGTCTATCCTACCCCTTACATATTTTCAAGTGTTCTAAGCGCATGTACTAAAATAGAGCTATTTAAGCTTGGAGAGCAGCTCCATTGCCTTGTTCTCAAGCAGGGATTCTCTTCTGAAACCTATGTTTGCAATGCCCTTGTGACATTATATTCACGTATGGGGAACTTTATATCAGCTGAGCAGGTTTTTAATGCAATGTTGCAGAGGGATGAAGTTTCGTATAATTCACTCATTTCAGGTTTAGCTCAACAAGGATATAGTGACAGAGCTTTAGGTTTGTTTAAGAAAATGTGCCTTGATTGCCTAAAGCCTGACTGTGTTACGCTTGCAAGTATTTTGAGTGCCTGTTCATCAGTTGGGGCTCTCCAGGTAGGAAAGCAATTTCACTCGTATGCTATTAAGGCTGGGATGTCTTCAGATATTATCTTGGAAGGCTCACTGCTTGATCTTTATGTAAAATGCTCGGATGTAAAAAATGCCCATGAATTTTTCCTTTCAACTGATACTGACAATGTGGTGTTGTGGAATGTGATGCTTGTGGCTTATGGCCAGATGGACAATTTAGACGAATCATTTAAAATATTTACACAGATGCAGATGCAAGGTATTGTACCAAATGAATTCACCTATCCAAGTATTTTGAGAATTTGCTCTTCTTTGAAGGCTCTTGATCTAGGAGAACAAATTCATACTCAAGTCCTAAAAACTGGCTTTCAGTTGAATGTGTATGTCTCTAGTGTGCTTATCGATATGTATGCTAAACTTGGAAATTTGTATACTGCACTGAAAATCCTTAGAAGATTAAAAGAGAAAGATGTTGTTTCTTGGACAGCCATGATTGCCGGGTACGTGCAGCATGAAAATTTTGCTGAGGCTCTTAACCTCTTTAAAGAAATGCAAGATGAAGGGATACAATCTGATAATATAGGATTTGCGAGTGCAATTAGTGCATGTGCAGGTATCCGAGCACTTGATCAAGGACGGCAAATTCATGCTCAAGCATGTGTCTCTGGTTATTCAGATGATATTTCAGTTGGTAATGCACTTGTTGGTCTTTATGCTAGGTGTGGGAAAGTACGACAAGCATACTTTGCTTTTGATAAAATATTTGCTAAAGATAATATATCATGGAACTCATTGATATCTGGTTTTGCACAAAGTGGACATTGTGAGGATGCACTGAGTGTATTTTCTCAAATGAATAATGCTGCACTAGAAATCAATTCATTTACATTTGGCTCTGCTGCTAGTGCTGCTGCCAATATTGCTAACGTTAAACTAGGGAAGCAGATTCATGCCATGATTTTAAAAACTGGTTATGATTCAGAAACTGAAGTGTCTAATGTTTTGATCACACTGTATGCAAAATGTGGTACCATTGAAGATGCTGAGAGACAGTTTTTGGAAATGCCTGAGAAAAATGAGGTTTCTTGGAATGCCATGCTTACTGGTTATTCTCAACATGGTCGTGGATTTGAAGCATTAACCCTTTTTGAGGATATGAAGCAGCTTGATGTCTTGCCAAATCATGTCACCTTTGTGGGAATCTTATCAGCATGTAGTCATGTGGGTTTGGTTGATGAGGGAATTAGCTATTTTCAATCAATGAGTGAAGTTCATGGTTTGGTGCCAAAACCTGAACATTATGCAAGTGTTGTAGATCTTCTTGGGAGATCTGGTCTTTTAAACCGTGCAAAGAGATTTGTTGAGGAAATGCCTATTCAACCCGATGCAATGGTCTGGCGGACCCTTTTAAGTGCTTCTATTGTTCATAAGAATATTGATATTGGAGAGTTTGCGGCAAGTTATCTTCTGAAACTGGAACCTGAAGATTCAGCAACCTATGTTCTTCTTTCAAATATGTATGCAGTGACTGGGAAATGGGGTTGTAGGGATCGGACAAGGCAAATGATGAAAGATAGAGGTGTTAAAAAAGAGCCCGGTCGTAGCTGGATAGAGGTTAATAATTCAGTGCATGCATTTTTTGCTGGTGATCATAAACACCCTCATGCAGATAAGATATATGAATATCTCAGTGATTTGAGTGAAAAGGCTGCTGAAAATGGTTACATTCCACAGACCAATAGCCTTTTGAATGATATAGAACGCCGTCAGAAGGGCCCAACACAAATTATTCACAGTGAGAAACTGGCAATTGCGTTTGCATTGCTTAGTTTGCCTAGCTCTACTCCTATCCATGTTTTTAAAAACCTTCGTGTTTGTGGTGATTGCCATAACTGGATTAAGCATGTCTCTAAGATCTCAGATCGAGTGATTGTAGTGAGAGATTCATATCGCTTTCATCATTTTAAGGATGGTATTTGTTCATGTAAAGATTACTGGTAAGATAGAAGAAGAAGATTCATTAAAACGAAAGAATCCACCAGACTTGCGGGATGGACCAAAATTTATGATAAGTGTTGCAGAATCATTTTTATTGGCCTAAATTAAATTATCGCATGTATTTACATACATATTTAAATTTATCTAAAATATTAAAAAATAAAAACTTGTTTACAAAATATTATATTTTAATAACGTTTAGAAATTATTTCAGTAATTTTAATTTAGTTTACTTAAAAATAGTTTATTAAATTGAAAATACAAATTATAAAACTTTTCTGAACACTGGATTTTTCTAAATAACTGTTAAAATAAAATGAATACCCAATAAAGGTATATTTATTACAGAAAAATGGTCATTCACGTAAATAACGTGCTAGATAGGTTATTTAAATAAGTATTTATTATAATAATACATTTTAAAAAAATCCAAAATATTTTATATGGTTAAGTGAATAAATATTTCAATTTTTTTAATATTTATTTATTAGAATTCAACTGCAGGATCTGACAAAAATATTAATATTTGTAAACAATATTTTTATTATTTTAGTTTTTTTATTCAAAATATTTATAATAATTTGTTATATATTTTTATTTGTATAAATATGTTTTTCCTAAATTTAGATGTCAACTTGCATTCTTCATAACTTATGAGACTATTGATTTCTTGGTTTATTTTGGTTAAACTTATTTTTATTTATAATTTTAAAAATTATATTGGACCGATCAATTTAGATTAAAAATCAGTTTATTATTTTTAAATAATTAAATTTTAATTTAATTATAATAAAATTGATAAAATTAGAAATGAATTGAATTTTGTTGGTCGAATCAATTTTTTTTTAAATTATTTAGATTTCAAATTTTTTTAAAATAATTTTTTTATGAAATATATATATATATATATATATATATATATATACATTAATTACGTCAACTTTAAATAATAGTTATTTTATTATATTTTTATTTTATTTTAACAATTATTTAACTTGTAATTTATGCTAATCATGATAATTATTTTTATTATTTTTCTTTCTTAATAAAAAATATTATTATTAATAAACTTATTATATTATACAAATATTATTTTTATTAAATTCTATTAAATCTGATTGACTCTTTCGATTTTAAAAATATTGATAAGTCTACATCATATTTATTATGTTCTCAGCTAGACTTGTGCATATTTAACTCTTTATCATATTCGATTTTAAAGGTGTAATAGTGATTTTCTCTATTGCATACTTATTTTCTCAATCTTTATATTCAAATATTATTATTAATATTTATATATTTTTTTAATTCATTGTCTCAATAATCTTGTCTTCTAAATATTTTTATTCTAAATATATTATTATATTTGTTGGAAGTTCCACATCGCCTACCTCATATCATTTTGTATGATTAAATATATGTTAAACTACTCTACATATTGCCAATTGATTTTATGTTGGAACCTGAACATGATATCAGAGTCAAAATGTTGGAACCTTAACATGATATCAGAGTCAAAACTTAATATTCGCTGGGTCAAAAGTACCATTTGCCTGATCCAACAGGCTCCCTTAGAAGGGGCATATTGGAACCTAACATTCGCTAGGTCAAGAGTACCCTCCATATTTTTTTTTCTTTATCCCTTATATATAAGGATTTTGCTAGCTTCATTGAGGCCATGTAGGAAATTATAGTTATGTTTCTAGAAGTCGATCATTCTATGATGTACCCCTTGAAGAGTATGGTTAATGGGCAAATCATGCCTTTCCATTTGACATTCATTGTAATTCGCTTTATTTTTTTCTTTTAATTTCAATTGTGCCTTAGTTTTTGAGGTATGTCCCTGACTTTGTTGAAGCCATGAAGCATATTGTGGGTATGTTTTTGAAAATTGATCTGTTTGCGATGGACCCCTTCAAGAGTGTGATTAATGGACAAATTGTGTTTTTGCATTTAACATTCATTGTGTTTACGTTTTATTACTTTTAATTTCAATTGTGCCTTAGTTTCTTATTCATTGAGGCCATGGAGCATATTATAGTTTTGTTTCTAAAAGTTGATCTGTTTGCAATGGACCTTTCAAGAGTGTGGTTAATGGGAAAATTGTACCTTTGCATTTGACATTCATTGTGTTTGCGTTTTATTACTTTTAGTTTCAATTGTGCCTTAGTTTTTGAAATATGCCACTGACTTTGCTAAGGCCACTAGGTAGATTGTGGTTTTATTTTTGGAAGTCGATCTGTCTATGATAGGTCCTTGAAGAGTGTGGTTAATGGGCAAATCGTGCATTTGCATTTACTATTCATTGTGTTCATGTTTTATTGCTTTTAATTTCAATTATGCCTTAGTTTCTTGTTATATATGTACGTGATAAGTGAGTAAAGTAAACATACCTTAATAGATAATCATTCAGGGTAGACTGACCTCGTTAGGTCATTGTGTATAGTAGATCAACCTTGTTAGATCATCGTGTAGAGTAAATCGATATTGTTAAATTATCGTATAGAGTAAACCGACTTTGAAAAGTCATTATATAGAGTAAAGTGATCTCAAAAAATGATTGTGTAAAATATATTAACATTAAAGGATTATTATGTAGAATAAACCAACCTAAAAAGGTTATCGTGTCAAATTATTTCAAAACCTTAAAATTAACCTCGTATAATATCAAACTAAACTAAAATCAATAAACATCTGCAAATATAATTTCAATATTTCACGTACTACTATTTTCTTTTCTTTTCCTTTCTTTTTTTAATGAAAGATATTGTTAAAAATATAATTACCATAACCTTAATAAAAATTATAATATATTAATACTTTTCATTAAATAATTAAATTAAAAAATTAAATTATATATGTTTAAATTTAACGAACACAATAATTTTGATCTCATTTTTTATTTATTTGTATACTACTACTAATAAAAATAATAAATAAAATAAAATAAAAATATATTCAATCTTTTTTGTGGCCCTCGTGCACTTGATTGATAAAGAACAAACAAAAGATGACATTAATTCTTGACAAATAATTTTCTTAGTAACATTCTCTTTATCTCAAAACTTCAGGAAATCCAAACATTCTCTTGCTTAATCGTCCATAAAACTTAACCAAATTCAAACATTCTCTAAATAAAGGGATGAAGGACTTTGGTAACCTAAAAGTATTGGAATAGTTTGGCGCCCAGATTATTGGAACAATTTGACACTTCTCAACTCCGTCGCATACCCTCTCTTCTTTATTCCCTCGCTAGGTACGCCAAACCTGATTCTCCATTCTCTCTCTTCTAACGTCAAATTTTTATAACTCTCTCCATGCAGACCCGCACGCTGAATGCTAAATCAACTCAGAATATTTCTATGTATGAGTATTGCTATAATTTTACCTAAAGCAGGTTGAGTATAATGAACATGAATCGGGGGACCATGAACAAGCTATATATCCCATTAGACAATATCAGATTCAAACAATGATCCAAAGTGTGAATCCCTCACAAAGCTATGAAGACACAAAATAATGGATTTTATGAGGAGAGAATTGAAGTGCCTATAAGATTTGAATGCACTGCTTCTTCTACTTTGCCTCTTTGTTTTGTTTCAAAGTAGCAAATCAGACTTGGACATTCAACAACGGCTTCAATTATTTATTATGATGGAGTGAAAATCTTGCTTACTGAAATAGAATAGTCATTACAATTTTGTTCATGAAAGTATAATTATCATCACAAAAACATTAACCAAAATAGCACTCTTTTAAAAGATAATGAATACATGCATTGACATGACAAACGACTAGATTTTTCACAAAATCCACCATTTTTTTCTCTGAACTTTAAAACACAAAGTATGAAAAACTCCACAAAACTCTCTCCTCTTAATGAAGTTAATAGTGCTGTCAATTCAGTACAATATATCTAAACGCTTCATCAGATTCTATGTCTTGTTCTTTTATGTATATTCTATGTCTTGTTCTTTTATGTATATTCTATGTCTTGTTCTTTTATGTATATTAACAAACGCAGTTCTTTCTCATCATATACATGTGAAATATGATGAAACTCTATTATTCTCATTTTCATTTCTTATTCAACAACCATCCGGACACAAGTAGCTGGACTGACATTGATACAAAATAACAAGCATAATTTATATTTTTTTCTGTGAGCAGATACTAAACAAAGTTTCAAGCTTGTCAGGCTTTTGTTTCAAAGACTCTCTTTTACCAATTTTGAAAACTTAGAAGTTTATGGAAAAGAAACAACATATTTGTTAGAAATATATTTGAGTAAACTATTATTTCAAATACGAATACAAATAAAGTATTTGAACCTACTTGTCAACATCTCATGCAACTAAATAAGTCCCACATTTATCAGAACTCTGACAAGCAAATTGAATTCAGAATATAAAAACTCCACGCTTACATCCTTTTAAGTATACCTTTCTCGGCCTTTTGGCTAAGATCAAGTGTAGTATCTGTTCTTATCAGTTTAATATCTGATATGTGAACCATTGGTTCACATGATATTAAATTAATTTTTTTAGGAAGGGAATCCATCACAATGGCTTGCTATTGGGATTCCAAAACATCACTCTTGTGTTGCACTATAACAAGAGATTGGTGCATCCTATTAAATCAGTTTAATTATTCTTCTTTCACATTACTAATTAACAATTGATAATATTAAAATAGAAAATATAAAACAGGAATAAGTTATTTATGTATCTATCAGTATTCAGTTGCTTTGGAAAAGTCAGTAGTCAGTTGCTTTGGAAAAGTTATTTATGTATCAATCAATAGTTAAGAGAAAATAAAAAAAATTACAACTGCAAATAAAAAAAAGTACAACTGCAACTTGAGCAAAAGAAGATTTTTTAAAGAGCAAATTTGGCTCAAGCCAATGTTGCGAGTACCGGATCCAACAGTGGATGAAGTAAAAGTCCTTGGAAATGATAGTTATCCAATGAAGAGAGCCTTATATCTGTCTCAATCAATATTGA